AAAAATACCGGCGTTAAGATTATATTTTAACGAATCGTCCGTGGGAATTCTTGAAATACTTTCTAGGGGGGTGACAGTGATCATTACACAGATAGACGATTTTACCCTCCTCGTCTAGCCTCAGTTTCGCTTTACATTTGGGAGTTTTCGTTGAACAAACAAATATGTACTCAGAGTCGAAACGCTTAGAGAACGTATAACCATCCACGAGTATTAGTTTCTTGCCTCTCTGTGAACGGACTACATCGTAAGCGTAACCATAGTCTGTAAAGAAACGGCATGGTTAAAAGAGAACCTTAACAAAATTGACTTAGGGGCCATCTATAAATTATGTCACACGTTAGGAGGGGGGGGGGGGTCGACGAACTGTAACATTAGAACAATATTTAGTAGAATTTGTATAGACTAACATGTGACAGGAAGGGGGGAGGGATTAAAATCATGAATTTTGTGTGACGTAATTTATGGACGGCCCCTTACTTTAAGTTGGTTTTGTGCAAAGAAATTTTGTTCGAAGCTTTTATTAATATGAATATCTAAATCATACATAATTAGGGTATTGTCAGGGTCAAAACATAAATAGATTAAAAAATCGATGCAAAATTATTGCCTCTAAAATTTTCCATGTTCAATTTATTAATTACCTATACTATTTCATTACAGAAAAAAATCGAAAAGTTTAACCATAATCATAATACTTTGCGAATAATAAGAAGGGTTATTTACTAGCTATACGCCATTTTCTGTGGCAGTTAATTCCTCCTTTCTGTGGCAATTAAATTATGAATGAACTGTGGCAGTTAATTCATAATTTAATATACGACTGGTCATATATCTGGATGTTTGCTATTTAGAGCTTATCCGTAATTCAGAAAGCACATTAAAGGAATCGACATGTCGTTCTGACTTTATCCATCATTGACCACAATCAATCCATAAATAATGCCCATATTCAATAATGAACTTATCAATATTGGAATCTAGATTCAATATCATATAGTGAGAGCAAAGTATGTTAGAATTCATGACCTACAAAAAAACACTATATTTTTATTGTAATAAATAGACTTACATTTAAATCAATTCTTTATTCAATATATTTACGTTCCTTAAAATTACGACATGCTAAAAAAGATAGATATTTCAATAAGCAAAAATGTAATAATTACTTAGTGAAAGATAAGTTGAAAAAAAATATAGTAAAAGAAGTTTCAATCTTTTTAACTATTTTTTAAAACTTTTTTTTTCATTAAATACATGTTAACTAAAATCTAACATGTTCACCTATAATAATACAAGATACGTGCTGAACAGATCTCGAAGTTGTCTTATTACTGGATTTTCTGAAATTTTCACTAGCAGCATATTAAAGAGTTCCTTAAATGACTATTAAAAATACGTTTGTTTATTATCGTGACATGTTTACAATTAAACTTTAGTAAGAAGGAAAGTTACAATTCAAAATTTTTAATTAAACGTTAATATTATATCACCTTTTGATATTCGTGCATATCCCATATTAGTTTTTATATTAGTACATAGATTGCCGTGATAACTCCTAATTTCTATTTCTATGATTACACTACAACATTTTCCTGCAAAGTATACTTTACAAACACAATTAAAAATATTGAGAAAGCTAAATCTAATTACACTAAAAAAAAAGTATGGAAATGAAACAACACCAACGTCATATATTTGGATCTCAAGAATTACTTGATTACACCCAAATCTCTCGACACACTTTCATGTCAAAAAATAAAAGTAATTTTTATTTTTTGACACGGAAATATGTTCCATCTCGTAACCTCTTGAATTTTCTAGGCGCATGACAGTGCCTATTGTTCAGATTTAAAATAATACCATCCTTCATGCGGAACTTCGCCGTACAATTAGGATTCTTCGTTGAACATACCCAAACCCTGCTTTGACCGTTGTTTGTGAAAGTGTATCCACCAATCATGACAAGAGTTTTCCCTTTCTGCGATTGTACTGTATCGAAGCCGATCTCTGCGACAAACAAATAAATTAGTTATCTCAATTATTTTGTGTAACTTATATTTACGTTTAGTCAAACAAAGACAGAATTAATAAAGACAATTTCTGAACGGGCGAGCAATGTTATTAAAATCTATAGATACTATTTGCTTAAAGCCCATACAAAAATTGTTTTATGAAACAAGCAGTGTGCGTAGAGATATAAAACATGTAAATAAAATGAATCATAATGGTTTGACAAATAAAAATACATGTTAAATACTGAGATTATATTTCCAACGAAAGATGGATTGATGGAAATCATTTTGCTACAGTAAAATATCACAGAGTCTAACTTAATTCACACATATATATTTTCCATCCAGACTTTGCACGTATAACTTTGGTGGGTGGCAATGCTGGTTAAGGTGCTTGACTCTATGTAACTTTAATTTAGCTGTACAATTACGATTTTTGTGGAGTAAACCCAGCTTTAAGTGAGGGCCGTGCTGTCTTGGGACGTTTCAAGCTCATAAGATAACCCTGGACAGGAAAAGCATTTTAAGGACTCACGAAATCTAGGGAATACCTTTCTGATATATAAGGAGCAGGGCACGAAGACGAAAGATATTAAGATAGTAATAAACTAATTATGAACCGTAAATTTATACCGTATAAACCTAAGATTCTAAAATAAATTTACAAACAATAATTGACTGAATGCATTAGTTATTGCACACCGAGAATAATCTCGGACGATATATATTTACTTCAAGACATATCGTCAAATGAAAATTAACCTCAAAATATAAACCTATCAGGACTATTGTCGAGCTAATTCTCAAAGTCTAACATAACCCTGTGAAGTCAACACATAATGTGGCGGTGGATGGTCATGTTCCGTTATAGCAATCGCTACTTTGCCTGAGCTATCAAGCTTCACGCGAGCTTTACAGCCTATAAATTTCTTCGAACAATTGTAAATCCTAGAATCATGCACCTGGGAGTACGTGTAGCCATTCATCATGAGTAGGTGCTTGCCACGGTTCGTTGGTATCATAGTATACCTGTAATCTGAAACGTTATGTATTAAAAAATAATTAATAAAAAAATCATGAAACATGATCGAAAAATGGTAGAAATAAAAGTTTCAATAATGCCATATTCTTTCGTAATACACGATAAATAAAAGATGACTAAATATAACAGTTTTCTAAATAAACTATTTGTCTTTTGCATGTTTTAATTCCTTTTTACGTTTTGAAACAAATTTAAATTAAATTTTACTAAGTAATTTTAAGAAAGATAATTAGTCAAAATAATTGTAGGTACACTGGTAACAATTATAATATGGAGGTAGGCAGACTTAAAATTATAAGTCCTCTTAATTGAAGATACCAAGATTACACAAGAACCATACGAGCGAATCTGTACCTACCCCTAAGAAATATAATAAAAATTGTTAAAACGTTAATTTATTTTATTATTTTCTTCTGTTCCTGAAGCCTGGGGAGTAATTGTCATCACCCCATCAACAAATCAACGCTTCATAAAAAAATATGAAATTATATATATCCAGAACGCCGAATATTATGCCAATTCCTTTTTCTTGGACGTAATACCAGATCATATGAATTTAGTAACTATTGTTCTAATTAGGGTCGGTGAAAATGCAAATCAGATGATAGACCCGTCAAACGTAACAAAAGAAGTATGCGTAGGACACTCGACGCGAGAAAGAATTACCAGTTGAGTATGAAATGTTCTATCTATATTAATACAATATAAAATTAATATTTTACTTAATGCATAAGTTCAAAATTGATAAAATTTTCAATCTTAACATGAATATGAAATAAAACAGAGAGAAAAACCGCAGCCTTTGATGAATTTCTTGCCTGTGCTTCTCGATACAAGGTTTCCCAGCATAGATCAGCTGGGAAACCTTGTATCGAGAAGCACAGACAGCACGAACCGGTGGCATAGTTTCGACTTTTTATCTAGTTATCAGTAATGTCAGCAAATGAATCTATTCTATAGTTGTAACGATTAATATACCAAAATGATATTATCCATTTATTACGTATGAACATTCATGTCAGTTTTTAACATTGTATTGACTACTTTTAAACGGCATCCTGCCTTTTCGCCAAAAATTATTTGGCCGTTTATCACTTGCCAACCAAAGTGAAACGTAGGTTAGTTATCACTTTATCACTTGCCTATGTTTCATTTTGACAACTAACGATTAGCAAATTTTTGTATGACAACATTTCATTCGGCAGAATTATCGTTAAGCTGATTTTTATTATGACGAAAAAAAATTGGTCTAATCTTTCACTAGGCCACACAACTTTCAGACGAATAACGGTTCCCTTGTCATATATTGATTTGTTACTTTTTCCTTTGAGTATGTAGATCTGTGTTCAAGAACTTTGGAATAAGCTTAACAACAGAAACATATATGTTACGTTAGGTAAGTGTATATGATAAACAGTGCACAAGCCGACCAAGCGAAGTGCCAGAAGCAAAGCAAGTTAGATTAGTTTAGGTCACATTAATGGTGAAATTAGGTGTAACAACGAAGGAAGAGAGGAACGTGTTAGATTGAGTGTGAGCCTGAAAGTTGGCATTTTAAAAAGTGTCATTATAAAAAGCACACGAAACGTACAGTTGGGATTAGTGAGGTTGGGAAATAAAATAAGATTTTTTGATAAGTTGGAAAATAATTATTCAGCGAAATAAAATTCCACGAAACGTTAGTTGGCAAGTGATAATTAGCCAAACAATTTTCGACGAAAAGGCAGAGAACCATTTTAAACTTATGAATATTACCAATTATTCAAATTACCGATGAACATGTTAGTACATGAGGGTAGACAATACTGATGTAGAAAAATAAGTAATACAAATACCTACTATAGTGGCACGGACTCATATATAAAAATATAAACCTAATAGCAATACTAGTGAACTTATTCTAAAAATCTACTGGTTTGTCGAGATTATAAGCCGTCAAAATTTTATAGCTTGATATAACCCTGTGATGTTAACATATAATTAGGAGGTGGATGCTTATGTTCCGTGATAGCATTCGCCACTCCGCCTTCGCTATCTAGTTTCACACGAGCTTTACAGCCCATATCTTTCTTCGAGCAGTAGTAATTTCTTGAATCTTTCATCTGGGAGTATGTGTAGCGGTTCATCATGAGTAGATGTTTCCCACGCTGTGTTGGTATCATAGTATACTCGTAACTTTGAAAATCTGAAATGTAATTTCTTTTATAATTATTTTTGAATTCGTTAAAACGTAAATAAATTAAATAAATCATTAAAACGTAATTAAGATACAATTAATATAAGCAATTTCTTAAACGAACCCAACGGATCTAATTAACAATAAAAATTAAAATATTCAGAAGAGAATACAAATCGTACATTAATAAGGATTAAGATAAGTATTAATGGATTATTCTGAATGTAAAACATAACGGTATTTTGTTTCAATAGTCATATAAAACAACATTATCCCCATAACAAAAAGGGGACACTTTAATGAGGAAACTTTTAGCATAATTTCATGTTGGGATCAGCCCAAGGTGGAAAGAATTTGAAAGTGATACAGAGGAAGACGTTTTCTTCTGGAGGGCACCATTTTGCATATTCTTGCAAATTAAATTATTGACAGAAGCATTAAACATCGTCTATAATACCTACCTGCAACACCATAGTTGAAGACGACTATGATGTTACCAGTACATCGTACGCCAAGACTAATGCTATTATCCCGATGTAAGTAATTGATGTGGTGTCCTTGTCCAACAAACGGGAACATTGTATATATGTAGGCCGAGGTGCTATATTTTCACGAATGTAAGTAGAGATGTGCGGTTATAGTATATAAAATACTGAAAACAAAATTCGAGAACTTACGACACTCAAATCCTAAGTCGCGTTAATGTCGGTTATCAATTAGGTTATAAAAGTTAATGTCAAATTTGCTATTGTTATACCTAATATGTGAGGAATTAAAAATTTTATCAAATTATAGTTTTATTATATTCATAAACTCTCGAATACTCGTGCCGGTACACAAATACCTGACCAAATCTTGCGACTTGAGTTCTATCAAAGATTATTTTTTTACGAATACCATAATATTCAAATACCAAAAATAGCTGACTCCCCACTTGAAGCACACATTACAATTGTGACGTTCACGGCAGTTTGTTCAGGAAAGGATACACTTGTAATGGTTCACTTCCATCAAGCCAAAAACAATAGGTGTAGGTAGGGGGTACCTCCAAAAACAAAAGTTATTTTATTTATTCTATCTACATTCCACATACAGTTGGTTTACTTTTATTGAAATAAACATGATAATTACAATGAATATTAAATTAAATATCAAGTTAAAGTTTTTAATATTTAACATACTTTTGCGAAAATGTTCCGCATACCTAAATACGTTCACCGATCTCATAACTATAGGAACAAAGTGTTGACGAATATTTCCTGTATTATCTTCGATACTTTGTCCAGAACCCACTACGCTGGTGAAATTTGCTTTTAGCCAGTTTATTTTTTCTATGAGTTTAGTCAATAAACCTTATTTATACACGATGTCTTCAGAATTCATAAAGTTTACTTATCTTTGTTCTTCTTCTTCTTCTTCTTCTTTTTTGTTTATTGATTTCTTATCTAGAGATTCACATTTTAACAGTACTTTTCTATAAGTATGTGGATGCTTTGCTTTGACATGACGTTTTATATTCGTATAATATCTTGATTGCATTCTTAGCACTGTTGAACATAGCATTTTTTTACCCAAGTCCAATAGAAAGCACCTAAAAGAGAAATTACTAATTTAAATTATAAATTACAATATATAAAGAGGATGTGTAAATAACATGAAATACTCACGCGATTTCGAAACTACAATCCCAACACTTCCAATAGAATTATGAGTTTTCACATTCACATCATCGATATCATTTTTATCGTAATAATCATCATTAGTTTCATTTTGATGATCACTGTTTCCATCAGTAATAGATTCATATTCACTCTCATCTGTCAAGTCTTCGCTTTTAATGCTTTCAAAGATGAAGATTTCTTCATTGTTGCACTGCTCTTCTTTTTCGTAAATATCAGGATGTTGTCTTCTTATATGGCGTTTGAGATTTGCAGAATTACCTCTCTCCGACTTTATTATAGTAGAGCAAAGCACGCATTCATGATCATCCTCATTAATTTTTCTAACGTACTTCCTTTCCCAGTGGTATTGTCTTACTGAAATATAATATGTATCAACATTTTACCAAACAATTATTTTATGGAGGTTATTCCATAGTACTATAGTAGTTTTAGTAGCTCGGTGGCGTAGTGGATAAGCGCCGCGGCCCGCGATCGTAGTCGTTAAACAACTTTCGCAAGGGTCGGTCACGGGATGGGTGACCAAAAAATTATTATCTCGAGCTACTCCGTGCTTCGGAAGGCACGTTAAGTCGTTGGTCCCGGCTGAATTTGCAGTCGTTAATACCCTCCAATCCGCATTGGGCCAGCGTGGAGGGTCATGGCCCATCCTCCTTAACCATCCATAAGGAAGGCCTGATCCCCTGCAGTGGGGACGTAAAAAGGGCTGGTGATGAATGAATTAGTTCTATGTATGTTATAAAGAAGCTATACAATTATCTATACAATAAAACGATAATGTGCAAAATGTAAGATTTATCGTAATACAACATAATACATATATTAATATTATGTATCAGCTTAAAAGGACATTGGTTCAAAAACTCACCTTCAAATTCTACTTGAATGACACAATTATGTCTACTAACGAATATTAAACTAGGTACTCATAAATATAACGAAGCAGCCACATCTTCATCCACTAGATATTATAAAAAATACCATGAATTAATTTAACTATAAATCAATAAGCCACAAATTAACAAAAAAAAATATTTATTAATATAATTTCTTTTCGTGTGTCTCCGAGTTTACAAGATTTAACGTTTATTCAATAAATACGTATTACGTATTTTACAATGATACTTAATTATAGTCAATCAAGGCTTACAGTTAATTTATAAGACGATGTGTTTCAAATCTGTATCATTTATTTATAAGAAACATTTATTGATTTCATCAAATTTATAATTCCCTGTTTTACCGTATTTATTTCATTCGCAATTCCGTTCATAATATTACAATTATCTTAATATATATAACTCAAAGGTGACTGACTGACATAGTGATCTATCAACGCACAGCCCAAACCACTGGACGGATCGGACTGAAATTTGGCATGCAGGTAGATGTTATGACGAAGGTGTCCGCTAAGAAAAGATTTTGATCAATTCTACCCCCAAGAGGATAAAATTGGGGATAAACGTTTGTTTGAAACTTAGTCAATTTTAAGCCGATCGAGCTGCGACTTTACATGCATAAAGCTACTAAGACGTAGGCATTCCCTAAAAAAGGATTTTGTTAAATTTCACCTATAAATTCAACCCCCGTGAGGATAAAATAAGTGATGATGGAGGATGTAAATGTATTAGTTTGAACCTATCAGTACCTAATGGAACGAATACATAAATATTCGTTAGAAATGCTGCTCAAAGTAACTTTACCACGCGGACAAAGTCGCGGGCAAAAGCTAGTAACACTTAAAATTACAATTTGCGTTGCAATGAAAAAATAAAAAAGTGATTTTGCATTACTTCCTCGAAAGTGTATTTACATTTAGGATACGACACGAACATTTATTCTGAATTTGCAGTTTGCTACCGCAAAATACTCAATATAAATTTAAAAATGGATTACCTTTTTATTACCATTACCCGTTGATAATAAATAAACATTGATGACTGCAATTATTACTTTTTATTTAGATGTTTGAATTGGATATATGTATGTTTTCAAGTCACTTATCGGTTTGGATTTTTTTCTTCACAATATCATGAGAAACGCCATTGTTTTAATTGTGGCCAATATCTATATTTTCTTTCTTCACTGTCTGATAGTTGATTTCCACCTATAATATGGTATATTTCTTAATATGCCTTAACATGCTGATGTTAGTACATACGGGCAATTATAATATCCATGAACTGCGATGCTGTAAAAACCTGAACCTGGATTGAAATTCACTCATGTGTCTGAATTCACGTGGAAAATGGAATCAATAGAAAAACTATTGACTCTATTTTTGTATAAAAATACAAAACAAGATTGATTGATTCATGCGTGTCTCAGATATTCTATTTCTATGTCATTTCGAAACTTATGCCACGAAACGTTATAACCAATTCAATATTGAGCGGGTGCGGGTGACTTCGGACACCTGAGCGAATTCGAATTCGGGTTCGGACTTTTATAGAATCGCAGGGCTGATAACGAATTGAATTTTCGATCATCGATATTTAAATATATTTTGATATCCAGAATCAACAAAAACGAGCAAAATATAGCTAATCAATATTTTAAGTTATAAATTATGTTAAATAAACAGGCTTTTAAATTATATAAATATGTGATTTCGGCCTCGGTGCTTTCATAGAATTATCAGTTTCGGTATTCAAATCACCGTTGTCATTATTATGTGGACTTTTTTTTATTAATAGTAGTTATAATAATTCGGTCATTCAACAACTATTCATCTTCTATGTAATCAAAAGATTATTCTTCTTTTTCGTAAATATCAGGATGTCGTCTTCTTATATGGCGTTTTAGATTTCCGTAATGTCTTTTCCGTAACTTCAATATAGTAGAACAAAGCACACATTCATGATCTTCCTCATTTATTCTTATACAGTATTTCCTCTCCCAGCGGTATTGTTTACCTGAAATATAACGAAAAATGTCTTTTTGACTTCATAAAACAATTATTTTATGGAGATACTTAACAATATTCCGCCATACTTCCCGGCTGAAGAGGGTGACAAATTTATAATATATAGTATATCCTGATCTAGTGTACCCTCGAGTCAGCTCCGGGCGAAAGGTCGTGAGATCCATTCCCATCTCAGAGTACCTGAAGCTGGTGGATTTAATAAGAATATTTTCCAGACATAACATTTTAATTTGGAATTGTTTACGTTATTCTGTTATCGCATATTTTATCGCGAAATTCCATCTTCAAAAATGTGCAGTGTGTTTATGTAATCATAGTTGTATGTTCCAACCAACGTAGCTAGACATAAATACTTAAACATCATTAAATGCACTTAACATGCAATAGCTTAAAAACATCGTTTCCAAGATGGGCCAACAAGTCTACTTGAAAGACATATTAATTTATACAAAAATATTACGAAGCTTTAAACCACATGACCCACCCGATAATAAGACCCTTCTTACCATTAGCATAATCGACAAATGCACGATTTAGTAGATAGTAAATAAATAACCACAACACTATTAAAATTATTTTTGTATTTCTGTTATGGATAACGAATAATTACTCCAGAAACATGAGATACAATCTTTTTTTTTTAAGTTTAGTTAATCTAGGTTTTAAGTTATTTCTACACGATTTCGTTAGAATACGTATCATCATTTGTCTTCAATTAGTGAATTCTCAAGTTGAAATACGCTTTTTGCTAGTTCCTTTTTATAAATATCTGGATGTTTTGCTATCACATGACGTTTCATATTCCCATAATATCCAGACCGCATTCTTATCACTGCTGAGCACCGCAAACATTGCCACTTTTCATTATCAATTTTCTTACAGTAATCTTTTACCCAACAGTATCTGAGAGCAACACCTGAAATAATTGATACATTACTCTGGAGCAACTAAATAGCTGGCTACACAAATTACATGAATAAGTCTTAAAATTACTATTTCCCTTTTCTATGCAAAGAAACCGATGTGTGTCTCATTTATATTATTGCAGCTAATTAACCAACAGTAAACATGTTTGATTCTTTACATCTCGCCATGTTTCATATGTACTATTTATGTGATTTTATGCAACATAATTTATTTATCCTGAATTTTATACTATATATTATGCAAAATGTACGACATAACATCCAAATAATCATTAATTGTACTAATTAACATTACCGATGATCAATAATTAATAATTCAATTACCTGTATTGGATTGGGCAAAACTTTTAGGACTATTTTTCGTTTTGGTATCTTCTTCTTCACAATCTGTAGTATCTCCACTTTCATCATGAGAACAGCTTTTGTCATCGCTTTTGTCATCGTTTTTGCTATCGCTTTTGTTATCAGCTACATTTATATTTTCTATCTTATCAGACGATGCACAACCTGTATATTCTTTTTCAAAAATATCAGGGTGCACAGCCTTGATGTGCCTTGTCATATTACTGTAAGTACCTATAGGTAATTGCAAGATCCTTGAGCAGATAGCACATTGTTTTCTTCGATCATCAATGTTACGAATGTATTTTTTTACCCAAGTCCAACTAACAGAAGCTAAAAATTTGATTGGTAGATTAATGTGCCGAGTTCTAAAATACCATACCTAAAACATGATAAACAAAAAGAATTTACATATATATAATATATACTTACGTGATTTTGTAACTAGAAGCGCAACTCTTTCTTCAGAAGTATGAGTGTCGGTATTCAAATCATCGATATCATTATTATCAAGACTATTTTTATTTTCATGATCATTTTTTTCGTCAGTTGTAATTACATATTCTATGTCATTTAATAAATCGTCGTCTTCTATGTGTTCTAAAAAATAGATTTCTTCACTATCCTTATTTACGTTACCAGGTCGCTCTTCTTTTTCATAAATATCAGGATGTTTGCTTCTTAAATGGCGTTTTAGATTTCCGTAATTACCTCTTGGTAATCTTAATATAGTAGGGCAAAGCACACATTTATGATCATTTTCATTAATTTTCCGACCATACTTCCTTTCCCAGCGGTATTGTGTAACTAAAACCAATAATATTAATATTATTTGACTTTTCACAAACAAAACCAACATATCTAGTGACATAGATACGTAAAAAATATTCCTTTTTACTAACATGCAATAGCCTAAAACACCGATTCCAAGATTTGCCATCAAATTCTGCTTGAATACTGAATTATACAAAAATATTATGCAGCAATAATCCACATGACCCACCTTATATTAAGACCCACCTTACCATTGACATATCAAAAATCACAGATTTAGAAAATCTTAAATGAATAAACTAGAACACGAGTATAATTATTTATTTTATATCTTATTTTTATATTTCTGCAATTTTACAATCCCGAATGATTTGACAAATGATATCTTTAGAATACGCATCATCTATTTGTCTTCAGTTATTGATTTGTCATCTTGAGATACGCATTTTGCTAGTTCCTTTTTATAAATATCTGGGTGTTTTGCTTTGATATGACGTTTCATATTAGCATAAAATCCCGATCGCATTCTTATCACCGCTGAACACCGCAAACATTGCCATTGCTCATTATCAATTTTCTTACAGTAATCTTTTACCCAACAGTATCTGAGAGTAACACCTGAAATAATTGAATATTAAATTTCTATCAGTTTCATTCGATAAGATAATTATATACATTATTCTGAAGAAGCTATATAGCTGGCGGTATACCACAAAATTTTATGAGGGAGTCTTAAAATGTGTATCTTTCCCTCATCTATGTAAGGAAACCGATGTATGACTTATTTATTACAGTTAATTAACCTACGATCAACTGACATGATTCTGTACGACTCGCCATGTTTCATATGTACTGTTCGTGTGATTGTATGTAACATACTTTATTTATCCTGAATTTTATACTATAACACAAAATTCTAGACATATCAACTAACTGATAATAAGTGTACAGATTAACGTTGTTTTACCGATGCTAAATAAATATGAATGTATACAATAGGGATGAAGACTAATTTTTATTTTTTATTTTCTGTAGGTAGATTGTTGAAAAATATTAAAATATTAAAGTATTCTTTATAATTTTTTGCGTAATGTTTAAATTACGGCGATACAATGAGTTAAAATATCGCGTGACTTCACACTTTGATACATCTTCTACAATACTATGGCGTAGCGAGCCCCCACTTCTCAATCTTATCTTATCTATCTAAGCTATTTCCTGTTAAATCAAAGTAAAAAAAAATACCTATTCTATATCTTTCTATTATCCGACTGACGGACTAAATAGAATTTCCTTTTTATACCCAGTCATCATCCATATTACCTAATTCTTTGTATTGAGTAATTACCTATATTGGGTTGGACATAAGTTTTTGAACTACTTTTTATTTTAGTATCTTCTTCTTCTTCACAGTCTGTAGTACCTCCACCCTCATTATGAGAGCAACTGTTGTTATCGTCTTCAGTTATTGATTTGTCATCTTGAGATACGCATTTTGCTAGTTCTTTTTTATAAATATCTGGATGTTTTGCTTTGACATGACGTTTCATATTAGCATAAAATCCAGACTGCATTCTTATCACCGCTGAACACCGCAAACATTGCCATTGCTCATTATCAATTTTCTTACAGTAATCTTTTACCCAACAGTATCTGAGAGTAACACCTGAAATAATTGAATATTAAATATCTATCAGTTTCATTCGATAAGATAATTATATACATTATTTTGAAGAAGTTAAATAGCTGACGGTATACCACAAAATTTTATGGGCGAGTCTTAAAATGTCACTTTCCCTCATCTATGCAAGGAAACTGATGTATGTCTCATTTATTGCAGTTAAATAACCTACAATCATCTGACGTGATTCTGTACGTCTCGCCATGTTTCATATGTACTGTTCGTGTGATCTTATATAACATACTTTATTTATCCTGAATTTTATACCATAACACATATTTCTCGACATAATAACCAGCTGATATTAAATGTACAAATGAACATTAGTCTAGCGATGATAAACAAACATGAATGAATACAAATACCAAATTTTTTGTATTTAGTAATTACCTGTATTGGGTTGAACATAAGTTTTTTGAATACTTTTCCCTTTAGAATCTTCTTCTTCACAATCTGTAGTATCTCCACTCTCATTATGAGAACAGGTTTTGTCATCACTTTTCTTATCATATTCATTTTTGTTTTCTTTCTTATCAGATGACAGATAATCTGTACATTCTTGCTTAAAAATAGCTGGGTGCTTCCTCTTAATGTGTCTTGTCATATTACCGTAATTACCTGCAGGGAAATGTAAGATCATTGAGCAGATGACACATTGTTTTTTTCGGACATCAATGTTACGAATGTATTTTTTTACCCAAGCCCATCTAACAGCAGCTAAAAAGAAATTAACAAATTAATATGTTTAATTCTAAAATGATAAACAATAGGATTAACTAATAAAATACTCACGCTCTTTCGAAACTAGAAGCACAACGTTTGTCTCAGAAGTATGAGTTTCAGTATTCAGATCATCAATATCATTTTTATCAGAACTATTTTTATCTTGACTGTTTTCGTCAGTTGTAATTACATATTCGATGTCATTTAAAAATTCTTCATCTTCTATGTGTTCCAAAAAGTAGATTTCTTCACCATCTTTATTTACGCTACCAAGTTGATCTTCTTTTTCATAAATATCAGGATGTTTTTTTCTTAAATGGCGTTTTAGATTTCCATAATTACCTCTCGGTAACTTTAATATAGCAGAGCAAAGCACGCATTCATGATCATTTTCGTTAATTCTTCGACCGTACTTCCTTTCCCATCGACTTTGTGTAACTGAAATTAAAAAGCAAAAAAATGTTTTACCATTATTTTTATAGAGATTATTTTTATAGAGATAAGATTCCTAAATTTCGAAAGCGGCTACATTACCAAGCTACGTAGGTTATATGGACTTATTATTTCAGTCACCCAAATGTGCATAGCGATAGTATTTTAACGATTATGGCAAGTCTCCAGTCACAGCTACAGGTTTCACGCACAGTTAGAGTTCGAATTTGACCGCCCCGTACCTGATCCGTTCGTTTTGAGCACGGTTAGCGGGCAAACGACAGGCAGACACAGCCGCGCCTTTTTTCACTCTAGAGGACTATATGTGTAACGGTGTGCCATACCACCGTTTATTTTGTCCCAGGTTTCAACATGCAAACTTTTTGTCTTTGAAATTCAACATCATCCCTTTTATTAATTTAAAATTTTGACTAATCAAATATACTCCTAACGGATGTCAGTTCGTGAAAATTCTTTGAACAGTATGTAACATGTTATTATTGTAATTTATAAAATATTTTAAATTATACGTTTAAAGTGAAGTTTCTATATAAGACACACGTTAAATGAATTAATAAGTATTGTTTATTAAGGAAAACCCAAAAAGGGGTATGTATTCGTTTTATTTGGTAATTTAAATTTTTAACATAAGATTTATTTAGTTTAACATACGAACTGTTTTTATATTCATTTTTTTATTGTTACAGTTTTTCTTTACTTATCCTTTATACAATATTAAATCCATACTCAAGCTAGTCAGCCTTTCATTAATTGACCCAGGCACCGAACCCGTCACAACTGGCGCCCAACGTGCTATCTATTGATGATCAAACCTAATGCGCTATACTTTATACGACATCGGCAGGCTAAAACAGTTGTCAACAGAACTAATGTTAAACTGTTTTATAGTAGAATACTACATTAATAGAGACAGTGTTTAATACCAATTATACCTCTCAGAAAACTATTTATATTTCAGGAATATAAAATAAAAGATCTGATTTAATAAAAACTTTTTATTGGCACAATTAAAATAGATTCTTTACAACACTTTTATGTTGTTCTTGTCACTGGTAGGTCATATTTAAAGAATGATTCTTAGTTCCAGTCTATAAAGTAAAGTGGACACGCTAAAATAAATATTTTCTTATTTAAAACCATCAGTCTGCCTCGTGCAATAGAAAAACTCAAATTATTTTCCGATTCCATGAAACTCTAGGAAACAATTCCTGTGTTTATTTAAACATAAATGTTTGCGGCACTTGGTACACCACACGAATGTTTGTCCACCACAATGATTCTTGCATCTCTGGCGGGTCGTCCACTTAGGGAAATGAAGGAATCCATCTTCAGCTACTTCTTTAGCACTTAAATCAGTTCTCCGTTTTGATGTCCGTATCGATGCCTGAGACCCTTTTCTTGCTGTCCAAAAAGCAAATATAAATTGGATATACAGGTAGGTTTTTCAGGCATGACAGCAAGGACAGGTATCTTAACCGTTATAGTTCGAAACGTTTTGGTGACCATACATAACTTAAGATAGTCTGAATTGCATAAAAAAAGGTATAAAAAATAAATACAGTAACCAGAAATCTAATATATCAATGATCACAATACCTAAGAAATATAATTGTTTAGCAATAAGAGAATAATTGAGTTGCTTATAATTTTTTCGTAAAAAACGTATGGGAAAATTTCTCTATTAGTACTTATCATAACTTAATGGTCCTATAGTTTCTTGATCCCCATTTTGATAGGCATAATTTTTTTTTATTTTTACTTTTTTACTGATTATTTTTTCAAAATTTTAATTTAATTTTAATGAATGGTCTCACAGAAACATTTTCATGTAACTATAATAGTTAAGGCTCTACCCTGCTCTTTGTCTCGTCCTAAAAATACATACCAATATCTATGTCGCCCAGCACTCCAGACATTTATAATGCGTCAACATCTTCATTAGTAAATATGTTATTATAAATGTGCGGGGAGCGATATTTTTATATATCTTCGACGGAATAGGTACAAGTAAAACTAGAATTATGAATAAAAATATTTTAATATAAAACAAAAAATACCCGATGGAATAAAGCCTTTATATTTTCAAATAAACAATTATCACGTTCGTTATCAAAACATTTATCTTTTCAGCGTTATCAGGACAACCCGTAATTAATAAAACGATAGTCAATACAAGCCATTCTTGAAGAAAGCTTAAGATCATATTTTTTTAAGTAACAGGGTTAACGAAAGGGTAAAAAAAAAATTCTATGTTGTCCGTCAGTGAGATAATAGAAAAATATTAGATAGGTATTATTTTTACTTCAATTTAATAAGAAATAGCTTAGATAACAGGCATTAAAGTTAAGGAGTGTTGGCTCGCTACGTCACAGTTTTGTAGACAATGTACAAAAGGGTGACGTCATTTGACATTTTCACTCAATGTATCGCCTTAACTTAATTTTCATTATACGGAAAAAATAAAAAATACTTGTTTAATATTTATCAACAATGTACCTGACGGACAAACAAAAAAATTTAGATGCCACCCCTATTATAGCTCATGACGTGTCCGAGGTATCATCAAATTGTTTGAGCAGAGCAAGCAGTGTTGTTTTTCACTATCAAATCTGAAACAAAAAATTATGTAAAAAAAAAACTAAAATTGTAGTCACAGTAGCAAAATCTTAATTTCTCTTGTGATCTCTTTCTATCCTAAACTCACCGTTCTAATTTATTGCATGTTTTTCCATCATATCTATCTGTATGTCTGTACCGCGAAATAATTCTGTAATAATATCGTTATTTACTTTTATTTCATTATTGTATGAATGTAGGCCATCAATAATTTACTTCAGAATATTGATCTAAGTCAATCATTTGTCACTGTACTATACAAAGAATTGATGATTTCTTTCTTGTAAACGGATGGGTGGTGCCTAATAATATGTCTTTTCATGTTACCATAATGACCTGGAGGTAACCTGAGGACCTTGCTGCATAACAAACATTCATGACCGTACTTATTCATTTTCCGACAGTATTTTTTCGCCCAACCGCCTTTACCATCTGCAATGGACAATCAAAAGTATTATAGTCATTCGTTAACTAATGCAGGGGGCCAATTCTGTTAAATAAATTTTGTTTAAATCGAATCAAAAACGGATAGTAGAATTGGCCCCCCTGGTATTTATTTTCAATCGGGTATTCAATGACAATTGTTTTTTTTTTTTTAAATAGAACCGGTTTCGAATTTAAAAAAGTGAGTAAGAATATTTATTTTAAAAGTGATTATAGAAGAAATCTATTGATTCTGTGTAGGTTATTTAATGAAATGGTAACAACCCGATTTTAATAGCAGTTTATTGAATAATGAAGTCGCTTTTAAGAAAAGCGTTTATTATTTCTCATTTTTTGAAATTTGAAGTCAGTTATATTTAAAAAAAATTATAATTATAAATTTTAGCGATATCGATATTTTTATTATTTAGGTAACACTAAAAATATTAAGTGTTATATTTGATCAAGTTTTCATTCACAATGCTATAATGAAGAATATTCTTAATGAAAAAAGTGCTTGAAAAATCCGTCATTCCGGGAAACCATTGGTTAGAGCAGTCGCTCGGATTGCGATAGGTCATAGGTTCGAGTGTTTCAAAGTGCCAGGAACAAAGTGGATTTTTAAGCATTTTTCATTAAGCAAATTTTTCAGTGTGTCATTGTGAAAGCAAAATTTATTAAATATAATAATATAAAGTGACTTTATAAAAAAATATATCAACTAAGTAAGTTTAAACAAGGTTTTTTTTTATTTGCTCGAGATATTTTCTTCCGATACATACAATATACGTACTAATATTATAAAGAGGAAAGATTTGATTGTTTGTTTGTTTCCATGGAATAGGCTCGTGTGTGTCATAGGCTATATATAATTAAAGCGGGCTTAGGCCCGGGAAAACAGCTAGTTTGATAGAAATTAGTGCACAATTCGCGAAGAAATCGGTGAACATACCTACATAAAATAAATACCATAAAAATTCCTTCGTCTCGATTTTGAAAGTACGATCCGCTGTCTTTAGTTTTTCCGCTCTCATATATCATATAGATGTCCTCTAATAATTTTGTGGTATTTGGTGAAAAGTATATTTGCCTTGGGGAGACCTATGTCCAGCAGTGGACGAATACGGGCTGATGATGATGATGATGATATTTGCCTTTGTTATTAAAAAAAAACTACTATTAAAATTTCGAAAAAAAAAAAACAAATGGGACCACATCGGGCTTAACGCTATCTAATAAAGTAAAGATTTTGAAAATCGGTCGACAATTCGCGGAAGAATCGGACAAACAAACACCCTCCTTTTCCATCTTGTAGTCCTTTAAATAAATTCATATCTGATCTCCAACCTTGTGTGAAACAACATTATGTGATATCTATTATTATTTATTGGAAAAAAATATACATCAAAAATTAGTACCTACTTAGTTTTCGAAATATTTACGAGTTCTTTTAACAATAACATTAATTTCATTTATTTGCCTTGTAGGATTATGGATCTTATGTTTACATAGTTGTAATCTATAATTAAATTAAAATCAATTCAACAAATAAATAATTACCTCAAATATAAGGAATGGCAACTTACTCATTACTTACTTCAATGGCTTTGGTAACATTACTTTGTGGTTTCTATTTAGTAATATTACTACTACTACATTTCCGAAATACTATACCGTTTATAAAATATATTAATAACTAAAAGGACATTTAGTTCTTTTTTAAACTTTAACATAATGTCCTGTACGGGTCGAAACGTATTAAGGGGGAAAATGATCGTGGCACAATACGATATTTCCCCAATTATCTAACTTTATACTAAGCCTTACATCCAGCTTCATTATTCTACCAGTGTAGTGTAGTTGAATGAAGTGATTGCGCATTTGCGAGAATCGAATACATAGTAATAAAACAACGTCACGTTCCGTCTGTCTGTCCCTATGCATGTATGTTTATTAGATCTTTAAAACTACGCAATAGAAGCGGGATTATTTTAAACAAACTGGTTGATTAAAAAATATAGGACGTGGGCGAAGCCGCTGTCGGAAAATTAGAGTGGCACTATTTCGAGGAATGAAACGTACTAACACAAATA